CCAAACCCTGCCAATATATAAACGTGGCTCTTGCCACAGGAGGCTGGCTGGTTGGCAGCTCTATACTCCTAGGAGCAGCAGGAGCTGGAGGAAGCATGCATAGGGGGAGAGGGAGGGGGCAATGGGACAAGGTGTTCAAAAGAGCAAGTGTATCTGTTACGATATCCCTTCCTCCTTCACCAGATCCTGTACTACAGACATGGATCACAGTGGCCTACTTCTCTATTCGCAGCATGGCTCTATTTTCTCAGGGCAGGAATGAGTTTGCAGAGAACAGCAGGGCATTTTTAGAAGTCTGTTTCCTTGCTCCTTACCAATTGTGGGCTGTTGCTAGGTATTGTTCAGCTGAGGATCACAGCTGAGGGATCACACTGCACAGCAAGGGAATATAGAAAACAGCAAATGGGAAAGGAGTGTCCTTTACTTAACGGGGCAGACTGGATCTCAGGTTATCAGGATTCAATCCCCAACTCCGTCACAAGATTCCCAGGCAGGCTGGTATACATCAAAAAGCAAAATAAAAAAACAAAAACACAACAGGTTTCCCTTGCTTTATACAGGTTTTGTATATGCAAATTCACTCTTATGCAATGAGCACTTTTTTATACCAAAAATTTGTTACCTGCAAGATACATTCACTATTATGTGATCAATGTGGGGGAAGCCCACAGTCAGCTGCTTTGTGCAGTGCATTGTGGGACTGATGCACACCAAAATATAGTCTCCTGTGGGTCTGGGGGTCAGTACATTCGAGGTCTTAGAATGTATCCCTATTTGCTACATTGTAAAGTGGGTTCCCTTTTTGCAAATTCAAGTTGTGCGTCATTTTCCAGGAACAAATACAGCATAAAGTGAGGGAAACCTGTACTGTGTGCTTCCTGTGCAAAATTATCTGTTACAGATTAAAACTGCTTATTTTCATTTTTCAAATCTCCCTCTTACATTGTGTTCATTTCCTGCAGCAATCATTTTACTTTTGGTAGGTGCATGCTATTTCCACTAATGGGAACTCTGTGAATTTGCAACAAAATAGAGGCCTTAGTACTTTCATGTTTTAAGAGACATTTTCTAATTTTTAAAGTATTGATGTCAGTCTTTGGGTACCTTGGAAATACTTCCAAGTAAAAGGCTCTCTCAGCAAGTGTATTCTTTTCTATAGTCTTCCCCCCCACCCCAGGAGGTATAAAACAACAGTTTTTCCTTTCTCCCTTTTTAGGAGCAGCTAAAGGCTTTAGACCATGAAGTAAACGAACTTGTGGACTATATGTTTGGACCTCGAGGTAAGCACAGTTTTTAGGGAAATGCTAAAGCCTCTACTGATATAAAATAATTGATTTCCCAGGGGTAAATAAAAGCTATTTGAATCAACTTCCTCTGCTATATTAGTAGCTACTGAAAAGATTCCCACTAGATGCACCTTGATGGATACACTTAAAAAGTAACTAGTAGTTCCTTAATATCTCACTGAAAACATCTGAAAAGGGGCCTGATTTTGTCAAAGTGCTGAAGAAGCAGCCCTCGTTAGGGAAAAAAAAAGCCCCAGTTAAGCTCTCTCATATTGGAAACAACAAAAAAAAACCCAACAGACTGTCCCAAAAAATCAATATTTATTTCAGGAAAAGTATAGTATTCATTATATAGTGTGGCTAAATACATAAAACAGCATATTTCCTTTTGAAAACCCAATCTGTCCAAGTTCATGTTTCAGTAACATCTTTCACTCTGGCCCATTCTCTGCCTATTCAGCTATAACTTATTTACACCAAGTCACCTCATTTGTGTATTGCATTGTATCCCCTCCATTTCCTTTGTGGACCACAAATAATACTATTTACACCACATCACAAGCAACTTCTCTGCCTATTGCAGTTAGGCATCGACTCAAACCCAGGGTTTCCTTCCCTTCAGCCACCTGGGCTAGGGACAGAAGTTATACATAAACCAGTATAAGTGATCAGAAACTGATACAAATCTGTAACCCAACAGACGTTTAGGACATATAAACTGCCCCCAAGGTTTAAGTTACCTTGCCCCCCCCCCCCCCCGAGCATCCCAGGATGCTTTGCACCTCCACTGCAACCCCCACCCCATTTCAGGGTGCACATGCTAGCCTTGGTTCAAGCTGTCTGTTCCAACTGAACAGGGAAGCATGCTCTAGCACCTGCCCAGCATCTGGCCTGAGCCACTGCAGGCATGTGGCTGCATTTCCTGAATCAAAAGTGAATGTTTGTTTGTTCACTTGCTTATCAGTTCAATCTCTGCATTTTAGACTAAAATGCAAAGACTGAATCAATTCACCCTCAGGCTTTTTGAGTGTCTGTAGTTAGCCCTAATGCACTGGCAGGGAACATGCTAATGCCCCTATACAGTCAATATTCAGGGTGGTAAGGAAAGGAAAATTCTTGACATTTTGTTCCTACTGCAAACCCTCCCAGGACCAATGTGCTTTTAGAACAAGCAAAACAAGTATCTGACTGATTCCTACCTCATTAACACTTATATAGCAGTCACTCAAGTTACCCTTTCTCTAAAAAGGGGTGTGATAATTAGAGCTAGCTGAAAGCTTACTGATGGAACAGTCTTCCACTGGAAAGTGCCAAATCAGCTAAAGCAAAATGTTTTCCAGGAATGTATCAAGTCCATTTAAATTTTCTAGGAAGATCAAAATGGCTCATTTTGTTCAGATTGGAAGATTTTGTTCCTATTTGTTTGACATATAAGTTATAACATCAGAAGTCAAAACTTTTCAATGTGTATACTCCATAATACTGAAGTGGAAACTATTCAAACTGAAATATTATGATAAATATTGAAAAAATTTCAGAATACATTATTTCACATAACCATTCCAGGATTTCAGCTTTTCCATCCCAAATCAAGATGGAATTATGTCTTTAAATATCTCAGTTTTCTACAACATTTATTTATATTTTAAGATCAACTCTGTTAACAATCTAAATCTCCACATAGTTGAGCTAGCTTAGAAAGGGCCTAATCTTAGGAGTTGCTGACCTCAGTGCAAAGCAGTGGTACTTAGAATTGGATTCAAAATATCAGCAACATTTCTGCAGTCTGAGGATCATTTTTTCCCCATTCTTGGTCTTCATCTGTCCTATACTTATTGTCATACTTTCTTCCTGAAGCAAAACATGCAGACTAGCATAACTGCAGTTAAGTAGACATGACTTCATAATAGGATTTTTGGATGCCTTGTATTTATGTTAACATTTCCAAAAATGAATATTTCTTGATTAAGCAGAAAAAAAAAAGCTGCAAGACTCAAAGCCAAGGAGATGATAGGTCTTTATTCCCCTTGTGTTTGTGTTGGTTTGGAACTCCTACCATAAATTGTGCTGCTTTCATGATCCTCACAAGATGGTACGTCTGCACACTCCTGTGTGCAGAATTGCTTAGGTTTTTTTATTCTACCTGTATCTATTTAAAATTAAATGGCATTTTAAAATTAGTGGCTCCTTAGAAAAATACTTGCAGATAGGCCTTGAAAACAAGCAAGCCAATGCAATCTAGGAACCACATGTATACAAGGTGTAATTATTTTCACTCAAGCAAGCAGTGTGCCTTTTCATCCCTCTCTCCAACGGCTCCAGAGCCAAGTCTTGAGCTGGATGAATTGTGGTTAATATAATGCCATAGCAAATACTAGAGCTCCCCTGGGCCTTTGAATCACACTTGGGTTAAATAAGCTCTACCTCTGCCAGCTCTCAAGAGATGCGTAGTTGGCTTTTGCAAGGAAAAGCCTCAAAGAAGAGTGACTGCCTTTTGAAAAGAAATGGAAGGAAATGCTGGCCAGAGTAACAAAACCCAGTGAAAATATGTTCAGGAAGAGAAGAGAACGTGCATTAAAAAGACTTCTGCACAGGGACACCTCCCAAGGTAGCAGCTTTGCTCCAACTCCAGCACTGGCTGCTTTCCTTTCAAAAGGCAGTACCCGCTTTTCAGTGATCAAATCTCAGTGAATAAATCTCAGGACTTTTCGCTCCCCCCCACCGCCATTTATTGATGAGTTTCTTTTTACCAGTTGGTAATGTCTTGGACTCAATATTAGCCCCGACAATGACCAGTTCTCAGATTCACACTGCTCTAAATGGGGGTCTAGGCTGAGTCCAAACAAACCAAGACCAAAAAACCAGGGCAGGAAAAAGGTTCCACCCTCCACTGCTCCACTGGCTGCAGAAGGGTCAGGGCCCAGGTGCAGTTCCTTGACTCCGGTATCTCCATTTCCAGTGAGTTAAACTGCTAGCCATATGTTTTTAATTGTCCTGTATACATTGAGACAAAGCCATTTATTTTACTTTAAATATCGGTATTTCTCCTTGTTGCATTAAGTTTAATCCTGAAGAGAGGACATACCCAAATTATTCCAAGGAGCTTCATTGCCTGGGGGAAGGCTTAAGTATTTGTCCTTTTCCTACTCTTCTCCCCCACTACTGTGCTGGCAAGAATAGGACTGCAGTATTCAAGAAGGCACTGCAGTGAAACAGCATCAGAAGTGAAGCACTTTGATATAGATTTATGAATTTACCTGAAAGTCTAAACAGTGCAATCACTGAACAATTAAACCACTAGATGCATTCCCTAATAGAAATGGATTGCACCAAGTGGTGCAATGATTAATCACAATTTTAACACACTATTAAGTATTCAGACATTATTTATAAAATACATTCCATTCAAATAATACTGAAAACAGGACTTGTTCCTCTCCTGTCCCAGGCATATAGTAAACCCTTTTACTTCAGTGATCTGTATCTTATTAGCACAAAGTAGGCATGTCTACATGTGCAATTAATTGAAAGCAATCAACTCCGGCGCATATTGTGCCAAAGTTTATTGCTCCTGGGCATGCTGCTTGAATGTACACCCAGGACTGCAGCACAGACTGCAGCAGACTGCTGAGGCAGAGCAGCTCTGGGTGGCAGGGAGCCTGGGGGGTGGAGGCAACTTACCAGTCCAGGGCTGCTCCGACCTGGCTTGACATGCTGCAGAGGAGCGAGCTGGGGCATGAAGATGCTCTAGTGTGGGACTAGCCAGCAGGCAGCCCCTCCACTGAAGTGCCCTCATGCCCCAGCCAGCTGGGTCAGTGCCTACATGTGTGCTGCCATGGAGTAAAAAAAAGTATTTACAGTACTAACCTGCTATGGCGTTTATTAGTTTCCTGAGGCCTAATAGGGATGCATTTGTAGATGTAGAGATGTTTACTGTGGAGTTAATTAGGCAACTACAGTAAACGTCTCATATAGACACACCCAGTATTTCATGACTAACATAACTCCCTGCAATGTAGCTATGTAACAGATGACTGTCCCACAACAGTTATGAACTGCATCCCTATCAGTAGCATTTTGGAACAGTTCTATCATAGAATCATAGAAAAGTAAGGTTGGAAGGCCAGAGGCCACCTAGTCTAACCCCTGACAGGAAGCAGGATCACCTCTATCCAAACCACCCTATACAAATCCTTGTCTAACCTGTTAGTAAGACTACAGAGTCAACTCTGACACAGCCACAAGACATAACACCCTATCCTGCCACAGGTAAGGCAGGAAAACAACAGTAGCCAATGTCCTGCTTCTGCAGGGGTTGTTAAAACACACCTGAGAGATCCAAGGAAGAGGGCCATGCCCCCTGCTATAGAGGAAGGTTACAAAGGCCAAACATTACTTTCCAACAGCCATTTTTATTAGAGTCAGTTTGACTCATGCTGACACAATCCTGCATCATTTGGATAAAAGGAAGCCTTGCCATTTTTTTCAAGAATGGTAGGAGCAGGCCTGCTGTGCAACTCCTTAGCTGTTTAATTTGGCTATATATATGGCAGCAGACTGGAATCCAGGACTCCCCCAGCCAGAGCCAGTGCCCTAACCACAAGGGTGCAGTGTCAGACTACATTTTGCTTGTTCTTCATCTGGCCCCCATGGCTCTTGCATCCCTGTCTGTCCAAGGGCCCAGCTTCAACAGAAGGGGTAGAGTGAACCTTACTCTATATGCCAGTGGTTAGGGTAGTCATCAGGGAAGTGGAAGATAAAGTTGAAATCCCTTCAGGATGATGGAGCTTAGAAGCAAGGTCTCCTACACCTTGGAAAAATGCTGTAACCAACAAGCTATTGGGCACATAGGGATGAGTATTCTCAAACACCTCTCCTCAGAAACCCGCTGTATTCCTTGCCACAAAAAAAATGGGTCTAGACGAGGGGTGGGCAAAGTACAGCCAGTGGGCCATATCCAGCCCACCAATTGAGCCCATCTGGCCCGCTGGCCACAGTCAAGAGCTTGAAGAGGGAGGGCTGTGCCCCATGCCATGCTGCTCTGCCACAGTTAGGGCCAGGCTATGCAATGCACCACCAGGAGGTGAATCTGTGTTAGCGGCAGCTGCCCCAACTTTCCAGGTGTGGTGTGGCAGAAGCAGCTCACCATGGTGGACAGGCAGGACAGCACTTGGTGTGCTGCACCACACCCCCATCTTGAATGGGCCCAGCTGCCAGCAGCTACACTGCCAGGACTACACGTTGTCAACAGAAAGCTGGGCAGGGGGAAATGGATGTGGGGGGCCAGAGGAGTCTGCACGCTACTCAGCCCACCCTGGCCCCAGCTGCGGCAGAGCAGAGCATCCCTCCTAAGGTTCCCAGCAGCAGCCAGGTAGGATTAATTGGCATCTCGTCCTCATCCCCTCTGGCCCTCAGCAGCTCACCAAAACTCATTGTGGCCCTCCACCCCAAGTAATTGCTCACCCTGGTCTAGATATTCTGAATAATAGTGAACAGAGAAGTCTATTGAATAATCGAGTCAGACACCTAGGCTCTGGAGAAGCCAGCCCTGTGCTTTTATGGCTCCTATTGACTACCTATAAAATGTCTTTGGGCTTACTCAAATAACCCTTTAGAGACACTTAATGCTCTTCCTGTTCTCCGTATATGGTGCATAGGCACTTAAGCTTGAATCACACTTTGGCATTTCTGAAGTCTCTCTGATCTCTGTTGATAGGGGAGGTGCTCTAATGGGTCATTTTAAAACTTTTTCCTGGAACAAAGTTTCCAAAAAGTTAGGCTAGGCAATACCTGTGCCAGGTTGCCTGAGAACATTTGAATCTGGACCTTAGTGGGTGGATTCCACCTTTGTAAAAATAGATTTAGAAACTGGAAACACATTAAGATACATACATATAAAGCTATGATGAAGTAATAGTATACCCTTGAGTAGTATGTATTTTGCAATTAAATATTAATAGCATCAAAAGCCAGCTCCAGAAACTTAAGTCTTGGCTCCTGAAAAATTCAAGTTTACCCACAGGCAACGTGGCCACACTGACAGATAGCTTAGTTAAAAACCCAAATATAAACACTTCTAAAGTACAGGGAGAGTAACTTGGTACCATTTTATGTGCTTTTATAGTTAATTTGGTTTGTTACTGTAAGCCACCCTGAAAAAGAACAGCATATAAAGCTAATAAATAAATAAATAAAAATTTCAGGCAGTCGGAGTTCTATCGTTAACTTCCGTAGAGCCAGGATTTCAGCTCCACCATTCTGTTCCCCCTGTTTTTAATTGCAAATGAGATAAACTTGAGAAGGAGTCTGAACTGGGGCACTCAAACATTGCCATACATGATGTAGTGCTCTTGTCATACAGTGTCACTTACCATCTGGGTCCTGGTCTTAATCTTTCCAATTCTGAATTGTTTTAGTAGCTAATACTTTCCCTAATCAGCGACTGAAGGCAGAAAAGCACTAGGACCATTGCCAGAATCAAACAGCATCCTCTTTCTCCACTTCCTCCCCCCCACCAGTAGACTGTATTTTTTTAGGGAGCTCATAAAATTCACTTTTTCAAACAAACTATCTTCCCCCCCCCCCCCCCCCCCCCAGCCCCCATGTTACAGTGATGAAAAAAACCCAGTCAAACCCAATAGACCGGCATTTAAAAGCTACTTCACAATAACAAACAAGAGCCCCTGTATGAAAACAGGGAGGATGGGGCTGGGGAAGGGGTGAGGGGAAGGCAGGAATGGAACATATTTTAGTGTCTTGGTCTGAAGAGGGATTATTAACAATTATGAGAATTTTTTTTGAAGTGCTAAGTTGCTAGAGGATGCAGCCCTGGGTCACTCTATGCTAAACTTGTAGCACTGAGGTCCTCATTGCTTTGCAAATCACACCATGAAAACTAGCCTTCTAAGGCCAAGTCTGGCAGCTACTTTCATTGCTGGTTGTGTAATTCTCTCCTTTAGCCTACTTCAGGATCTTATTTCTACCACTTACTCCTAGATACAAGGAGACTCTTTAATTATCTACTAAGGCTAATTAGCAGGGGGTTTAAATGCACTGAATGCAGGACTCCTTTGCCCTGGAAAAGGGAGATGCATGTAAACTATATTTACGTGTTAGCCTTCAGAACCCAGCCATTTTCATCTTCATCTGAGCTGCATATTCTCAAATTCTCTCCAGATTTATATGGTCTGAACATAACCCACCCATATTATCTAATGGTTCCTTTGTTTAGTTCGTGCTATTTTGCCATGCAATGGATTAAAATAATTTTCAGCATGCCTTCTAGAACAGCAGAGAATTTTTTTTCCAGTGTAATATAAACTACTCAAGCTCTTGGATAGATGATGCCAAGCCTACTTGCTGTTTTGGAACAGACAGCATTATTCCAGAAGATATACTGAGTATTCATGTATTCCTGTATCTACATGATCTTAAATTTAAAATACTTCCTTCTGCCAGCTGACCAGCACTCAGTGCTTTGGCTTTCTTGATGATGCACCTTCATTCTCATCTATGCATTTAAATTATAAAATATATTAATTTCAAGGGCGGGGGGGTGGTAAGAGAACAAAGATAGACACAACCCATCTTAAAAATACCTTGGTTTTAGGAAGCTCTATGGTGGGAGAGAGGTGGGACCTTTCTCTGATACCCTGTGCACACACTGTGTAGGGGCATTTATGTTTGGGGGCCATTCACTACCAGCAAAGGGAAGGAAGCCTTGCATTTCAGTCAAAGTCCAAATGCAATAAGTGAAGGAGTGGCTTGTGCTGGAGTATAAATAGTATTATTTGTGGTCTAGAAGGGATATAATGTGATATAGTAATTGGTGACTACTGGGTGCAAACAGATTATAAGTGAATAGGCAGAGGACAGGTCAGAGAGTTAAGACTGTTTTTGAAAACTTGACTCAAACTGTTTTCAAAGGGCATTTTGCTGTATTCTATTTTGCTAATGCTGAGTGAGCAAAAAGTCAAAGGCCAAAAATCCTAAGAGAAGGGTATGGGCAGGAACATAACCCGACCAGGGCAGCAGCCCCAGGCACTGCCTTTAAGGTGGAGGCATGCAAAATTAGCTGCCACTGCAGCAGCCAGCCACGCTGCCATCAGAGCTGTGCAATACCATCAGAATTTCCATGTCCCAGGCACTGCATCTGCTCTGGGCATGGAAGTGCCCTGCTCTGCTTCTGGGTCCAGGCTGGGCTTGTGGTATGTTTATCCTGCCTCTCAGCTCAGAAGATGAAGCTGCTTCTTGGCAACCCAACAGTGGCAGGAGCATAACTAGAGTCTTCTAGCTAAAACAGGAGACTTAACAGGTCTTTCTAGTGCAAACCTGCCCTCATAGAGCTTACAAGCTAACGGAAGACAAAATTCAGCAACGTAATGTAACAGAGGACTGGAGACACAAGAAGGATGGGGGACAGGAGCATGGCGGTAACTGAACAGGTAAATATAGCTGTGTGGTTTCACTACAGAATGTTTCTGAAACATTTAAATACTTTGTTTCTAAAGAGAAAGAATTGCCTTGGAAAAAGCATTGTTGAAACACACAAATATATAACAGTTCTTAATGTCTCAAGCATTCCCCTGCAGAGTTTGCTTTGATTAAGCATTTCCTCAGAGTGTTTTCAATCCTACATCTGAAACACTGAGCAAATGAATAAGAGTGAAAAACAGTAGCTGATGTGTTAATTTATTGTCAAATTTAGCAAAATGCAAAACCCCACAAATGGTAAAACAAGTTGTTTTCTTAAATACACGTCTAATTGTGATACCTTCTATGGTTTTTAACAGGAGCGAGCAATTATTTTGGGCAGAAGCTAGTATATGATAATCAGAGGAAGAATTTCACTTAGCAATTCCTTTTCTCAGGGAAGCCTAAAACTTATGGTTCAGAAAGCAAATATCTTTTAGAAAAATATGACAAAGCTGAAAGAAAACAATGATGGCATTCATCCACGATACCCATTTACTGCCATTGTAGACATTTTTCTGTTTTAAAAATTGCGCATCTCAAACTTCATGATCTCCATTTTGTTTGAGCTGGGGGAAGGGATGCAAGGAAGAGGAAGGGAACCCACAACTACACACAAAATTCTTTGCTCCCAGTACTGATTTGTTCACATGCATTACTGTCAGAGATATAATTTGTGTGAATAAGGCAAGCAGAACTGGGCCTTAATACTTCATTTCAGGATAAAATGGGGCAGATGAACAATGAAACAAGCCTTGGGCTAATCAGAAAAATAAGCACATTGAAAAACTAATGCACTGAACATATTTGAAAATGTTTCCCTATACATATGTGCCTTCCAGTCACTATCATCATCTCTCCAACACCCAACATAAACACAAAGATATGAGGCAAATGCACAGTAAAAATAATGAATGCTGTATGTCTGGATTAGCAGGTTCTCTTTTCTTAATTCTATGTAGATTGAAGGTTTAAGCTATTTAAAAGCAATATATACTGTTTTTTTAAACAGCTTGGTATTTGGCATTTTATTTCTATTAAACATTACTTTTAAATAAAAAGAGCACAAACACATTTTTACTCCTGCTCATTTCTATGATTCATAGAAGGGCAGAACAATTAAAGTGATTTCAGGTAATTCTGAAATGACCAACACAGATGCCTGAAATGACTGTGCTCAATGCAGTTATTTTGCTATTCAGGTTGAAATGAACTGAGTATGTATCCAAATATGGCACATCCCCACTGTACCTGTAGATGACACTGTTGACACTGCAGGCAGTTTCTTTTTAACCACACTGAACAAGCCACTTTTAACTGCTTATTGCATGCTTCTGTTCAGATTCCAGGGTCAGAGGTTGGTTCCTGTTGGACTCCTATCTACCCACATTTTTCCTTACTGTAGCCTATCTGCTTTCCATATGGCTGGGTACCGAGTATATGAAGAACAGGCCTGCCTTCTCACTCCGGGGACATCTCCTGATATATAATCTTGGAATCACACTACTTTCTTTGTACATGCTCATAGAGGTAAGTTTAAATAAACGTACTGCAGCTGAGAAGGGCAAGCAGTAAGTGATTTTTAACCAAAGGAATGTTTATCATCCCCATCTCCAAAGTAAGTTGGATTTATGATTTTAGGTCCATTTCAGCTAAAGCAGCATTTGACAACGTGCATTCAATTTTCAGGGACTGTGCATTTCAAACATGTCTGTGCCTCCTTAATTCACCCTTCATGAACATCAATTCTTTTTGAAAACATAAACATCTGGGGAGTGACTAGTCTTTGTAGGTATACACTACTGTTGTTCAAACAAACAGATGTATGCATGAGTATGCTCCAATTATTCATTGTTTGCTAGTCACTGTCATCCATTTCCTCTCTTGTCTACAACATCTAGATTTTGTCATCTAATCAAGTGGCAAAAACAAAATAAAAGCACACAGGTGACTGATCAGATGCCTAACAAGTTCAGCCAAAAGCAAGCCATTTGGGAAGCCAAAGGCTGAACTTAGGATCATAGAAAAATAGGGATGGAAGGGACTGTGGTGGGCCAGTAGTGGGTGTCCACTGCGCTTGACCACCTACCAACCTCCAAGTGCCACCCTGGGGGTGCCTCATGTCTGGCCGACCCCCTTCCTAGAGCACACCCGCAAGCCTGGGGTCACCGCTGCCACCACCCGGGGTCTGGACCGTTTCTGGGCCCTCTGCTCCCTGGGGTACACAAGCCTCGTAGTCCTTGAGGGTGCTTGGCCCACTGCAGGAACTTGGGGTATTCCTTTAGCCTGAAGCACAAAAAGTAGCCTCAATTGGTCATCCGAGCCAAGGGAATAAAAAAAGGCATGCCTGAACCCTCTCCCAACGAGTCCACCACACTTAATACAGAGGAAACCTTTATTGGTTACAGAGAGTAGGCTTGGAAAGGGTACAGGTTAGAGAAATATCAAAGAATAACCTTAGAGCAAACAGTATCAGCTAAGTAGCTGTTTGATACGCATCTACATTACAGCAAGCTATATCTAATATTATAAAAACCTAAGTCTGTCCGGCTGTAATGCTATATTCTCACTCTGATTGGCTGATGGAAACAGCCAATCAAAGTGCTCCAAGCATGGTGGAGTGCTGCCATGATTCTGAAGCCGTACTGAGTATTGGACAGGGGGTGGGGGAGACTCCCCCACCCTGCTCCCTGCAAGAGCAAGAACAGCAGCAGTATGGGGTGTTAGGTGGCGGCACGCCATCCCAGACCGCCTTTCTCCTACACCGGCCACCATTATTCTTGATGGGCAATTGGCTAGTATCTAGATAAGTTCCAAGTAGTTTACTCACTTCATCATCCTGAGAGAAGGGGAGTTGCAGATGTTCCAGTTGCTGTATGAGACAAGTACCTGTTCATGTCCTGTAATCTGTTTTCATTCTGATCCTTTTAGCAATTTATACCATGAAGCTTCCTAGGTAGTCATGGCTCCATTCTCAACTGTTTCTGTCAGTTTAATGAACTAAGATCTCAGCTCCATCACCAAACACCTCCTCTGGCTTGCTCCAGCATGCACCCATTAAGGAGCTTTATTTTGGAGGAATCAATCCTCCTTTACAGGTTAGAGCATGCGTGATGGAGACGCAATGGCAACAGCAGCCTACTAGCCCCAGCAGCGAAAAATGCTTCTCCCAAAGCTACATTGCTAAGGTAGTAAATAGAACCAGGGGCAGAAACCTGAAAAAAAGACTGCTATTACAATTTCGGAATCACATTTACTTGCTCTTGATGTTAACGTCCTTATAAACACACCTCCCATGTTTGCTTGATAAATAATCCAAATGTATGAGAAAGCCAGGTTGTTGACACTGGAGGTTCACAATGGCACTTGGCCCTGGCATTCCATGCCCCCTGGTGCTGCACAGGGCACTAGCAAGCTACAGGAGAAAAACAAGCACTTGTTGTTCTGTCACCAGAACATTGCTTTGCTGAAAGTCAAATAGGACCTCAAAGCTCCCAGTTTTAGGCAAATTTCTTCAGAATTTAAAAAACAAACAACAACAGACACTTTAGCTAGTCAAAACAGGGGCTAATTTCTGGCTTGCACACAAGTGACACAGAGGGCCTTGTGACATTCATACTAGCTTCAGTAGGTGAAATGAGCACAGTTCCTCCTTGGTTTGCCCCTATACACCAATATACCCTATACTCTTTGATTAAAACAATGCTTAGCAGGTTTAACATGGCAGAGGCATACAGGAGGTTGTCGGAAGATTAATCAGGTTCGGGGAAATCAGGACATACTACACACATGGTGTTTTTCAGGGTCTTTCTGTGATGGCCCAGCTTCTTTTTGAAGCTCATTTTGCTGTACATACTATGCTGATTCATGTGTGGCCTTTTGGTTGGTTAATCAGGCTTTGCTTCTGTGGTTTGTAGCCCATTGACTTGCATCCCTAAGTTCACACAAGATTCTAGCTGATTTACTAATGATAAGAAACACAGCTCTTAGTGCCAACTTCTGCATCTGTTATGAATCTGTGTGGGGGCACTCATTTTATTGCTATTTCCAGTACTTCATCACACTTATTTACCAATAGACCTGCCATTTAGAACCTCTCCTCACGCTGTATGGCCTCCTCTTTCATGTCAGCAAATTAAACATTTCTGCATAATCTTTTTGCACAGTTCCCTTTGACTGCATTCCCTAATTGGGAGTAAGATGGACACTGGAGCTTGTGCACCTCCCTGATTAGATTAATAGATTCATAGATGCTTGGGTCAGAAGGGACCTCTGTAGATCATCCAGTCTGACCCCCTGCCCTGGGCAGGAAAGAGCACTGAGGTTAGATGACCCCAGCCAAGTGCATGTCTAGCCTCCTCTTAAAGACCCCCAAGGTACGGGAAGAGCACCACCTCCCTTGGAATCCCATTCCAGATTCTGGCAACCGTCACCGTAAAGAAGCTCTTCCTGATGTCTAATCTAAATCTGCTCCCTGTCAGTTTGTGGCCAGTGTTCCTAGTTACTCCAAGAGATGCCCTGGTAAACAGAGCAACTCCTATTCCTTGCCTTCTCTTGCAGAGGCTGTTGAGATCCAGGTCCCTTTATCTTTCATCATAGGGCTTTGCCTGCAGGCCCCTAACCATATGAGTAGCGCTCCTCTGAACCCTCTTGAGGTTGTCCACATCCCGCTTGAAGTGCAGCACCCAAAACTGGATGCAGTACTCCAACTGTGGCCTGACCAATGCTGCATGGAGGGGAAGTATCACTTTCCTGGACCTGTTCATCATGCACCTGCTAATGCATGATAAAGTGCGGTTAGCTTTAGTGATCACTTTGTCACATTGACGACTCATGTTCATCTTGGGGTCAACTATGACTCCAAGATCCCCTTCTGCTCTGCTGCTGAGAAGGTCCTCCCCAGCCTTTAAGTGATTCCTTCTCCCTAGGTGCAGCACTTTGCACTTGTTTTTGTTAAACTGCATCCTATTCTGTTCTGCCCACTTTTCTAACTTGTTTTGATCCACCTGGATTTGTTCCCTATTCTCTAGCATGTTAACTTTACCCCATAATTTGGTATCATCCACAAATTTGAACAGAGTGCTCTCCATGCCCTCATCCAAGTCACTGATGAAGACATTGAACAACACAGATCCAAGGACTGAGCCTTATGGGACTCCACTAGCTTGAAGATTACTATGGCAGTGCAAGAATGACAATTCTCTTTGAGTAGTGAACAACATTAAATGAGTTGTATGCCACACAACAAGAATGTTACAAAAGATTATACATGTATAAATGTCATTTCATTCTTTAGCATGAGTGACTGGTACCTCCTGAATCTGGCAGGGCACCCGCAGAAACCACCGATCCTGCCGGGGGGGCACCAGCCCTACTGACAGCATCAATGTTGGCCACCGGGGGGGCACATGTGCACCCCCTACCAGTCGCCTACATTCTTTAGATCTCTCACTTGCCTGTCCTCTCTGTCTGCCGTTTGTGGGTTATAAAGTCTTCAAAGCAGGATTTACCTGTTTTTTTGAGGCTTCCCCTGCACTAATTTCTTGTGCTAATGAGTTCCACTTATCAATGAATATACCATAGGATCAAATCTCTAATGAAAGAAATCCATAAATATCAGTCTTAGTGTCTCTGGCCAATCTTTTTAATTAATCAAGCTCCCTGCATGTTTAAAAGCCACATGCTGCTTCCAAACAATTTTCAAAGGTAAGTAAATACCATAGAGAGTGCCTAAAGTAATTCAACCCAGAGGTCACGTGGATAGATATAAAACTCTGGAAAGATTCATGTTTGGGAGTGGAACGCCCCCCCCCCCCCCCCTCCCCACCTCCTACTTCGTAA